CTGGTCTTCCTGAATTTGGTTATTATTTCATTCAGTAAAACTGAATTTCCATTTAGGATTGATGAATTTAAAATGTGCCTTCAATTATAATGGAAGGTACATAAACACATATATGCCAAAAGCTACTATATATTGACATACGCAGTCAGGAAGAAGAAAAATGTTATATGGCATGTTGGAATTAAGTGATATATATAGTTAATCAAAATTTGATTATATTAGTTAATTCATTTAGTCTTAAGTATTACTTTATTCCCAAAAGTCAGAGAACACAGTAAGTTAATGAGTATAATGATGTACATCTTTAAATATCTTCCCAATGCTGTGGCCTCTCTGTCCCTAAAATACAGACAAAAGCCCCAATACTTTTCTAGAATCCCAACCCCACTTTGAGTTTTTCCAGCTGAGATTGAAGTTCATTATATCATTATAATACATTTTTTAAAAAAAAACACTAGTTTAACCTTATTTTTCTATCTAATGAAATACTTGGTAATAATTATCACATAGAAATGTCTGTTGGAACATCAAGGAGATCTGTCTAAAACTACTCTCAATAAAATAATTTGCTTCAATACACATCATAGCAGATACCTCATTTTGTGTAGGTAGGGTAAATACATACCTTTCTAACTTCTTATAATTGTCATCTCTAAATACTCCTTTGGCCAGAATTGTCTTACCTTTTGAAGAAGATATAAAGGCTGTTTTTCAATCCAGGTTGGGTGTAGACCAAATTGTATTTCACTTGTAATTGGTGGATATTCCTTATCTCTAAAGAAAGGTCAGAAGCCTCTCTATTTGTTAATTTATAATTGTCAGATGAATACCATATTATATGGGAAAAAATAAAGATGTTTCTTTGTGGGGAGGGACTTTAGTAGTAACAGTCTTTTCATAAATTAAGATCTCTTCCAATACACCACCTGTTTTGGCTGAAAAAAACTGGATCCACGTTTAAGTGAAGTTGGTCTAATTTTTTTTTCAACTTATTGAGACGGAATTTCTGTCCTTCTGTGTTTTGTGTCCATTTCTGCCACTTGATCTGAATATGAATAGCTGTCTTTTTTTCCCTTATCCTCATAGAGACAAATACATTGAATTCTATTGATTTTGCTAACATGGCTTCTCTCTGTGATTTGGAGGTCTGATGTACAATATCCTTTCCACCCAAATGCACCTGTTGATGTACTCTTCACTCCCATCCTTCAACATATCCTCATATCCCCATGCCATGATGGGAGTCCTGGAATTCCCAGGTGATCCTAAGCCAGCTATTTGAGTCTAGTCTTTCCAATGGCTCTCATATCATACAGCTGGCAAATGTCTATGCTCACTATGCAGTAAGACAGTACTAGGATCTCAACATTTTAGTCAACATGAAGGCTATCACAGAGAGAGATTTCTAAAGTGTGGAGTTCTCCACTGAACTGGAAAAAAAATCTTTTTAAAAAAAATGTTTAAGTGGTAGTTAGGTTCCTAAATTGGCTACAAAAATGGCAGAGTGATGGCAAAGGTAAGAGGATAATAATTCCTGCATAATATTTTCATGGGGATCTGTTTACAATGCTAATGAATGCTGTATCGTGAATAAATAAATGAATTTGAGAAATATTAATTTGTTATGCAGTATAGAAAATGAATGTATGCGAGCTAGGAAAGGTTATATAAAGTAGTTCAGCTGTATTCATCATTGTATTATTTATGCAATAAAATGGAAACAGTTGGCATTGGTAGTAATTGGATGTTGGGCAAATGAGCCAAAGTATATGTAGAGCTACTGCTATGTGTCAACACTTTTCTATGTGCTCAGATTATAGCAGTGAGGAGAAAAAGCTTGGTGTTTAAAACCTATTAGGGGAGAAATTAGTTTCTATTAAAATACTCCCAGTGAAACAACCCAAAACACAAGATCACGTCTCAGAGTTATTTCAATTTTGTCTAGACCTAAAGACTGATGGGAATAGAAATAATGAATAAAGGATGAATAAAGAAGATAACCATTTTATAATAGAAGATCTGCAGGTGATAGCTTCCAATTCTGTGAACTACAGAATATCATAGGTTTAAATTGTATCATTTATAGAAATTGCTTTCTTACGTGTACTAAATAATACATATTATTCCCTTCCCCCAAAACAACTCCTAATATGGCTGGAAGGATTTCAAGAAGACATATTATTATTCCATGCCATTTGATATTTTTCCCAACTTATATATAGTATCTCTTAGAGAAATATTCAGTAATTATTTGTATGTTTGAAGGTGGCAGATTAAGTTTTATAATCAGAATAACTTATTATAACCCATTCAACTACTAGTAATTCCTAACTGAACAATGAGTTCTGTACCAAAAAGTATGTGAAGAATTCTAGATTTGGTGATTTGTAACTCCAAACTGAATTTTAGCACAGACACCATATTATTTTAGAATCTCAAACTATGTACAAGAAGTTATTTCATCCCATAGCGAGGCTGATACTATTTCAGGGTAAAATTAGTCAGTGGAAAGTTTAGGATGCAGATTTCTTCTTGCTTCTTATTCCTTCTCTGCTGTCAAGATTGGTAAAGTTTCCAATAACTTAGTTACCTGAATGTGGGACTCAAGTATTATTGTTCCCTCACATTTATTTTACTTCAAAGAAATAATCATAAAATGAGTTAAACAACTGAGATCAAGGCTAAAGGAGGATGTGGATTTTTCCTTATCTCCCTGAATCCTACTAATCTTCTATTCTGAAGTTTTATCTGAGTGTGGCCCAGCTCTTTCACATGTCCTTTCCTTTCAGAGCTCGGATATGAATGCTGTCTCATACACCAAATAACAGCCCCCAAGAAAGGAATGATTTTTGAGCCACAGTTTATTCTCCTGTGCTGGAAATTTTGAGTTTGGTAGGGTGAAAAGGGCAAATGGTATGTGGCTACAGTTCAGTCTCCTATATATGAAGTGTAATTAGAGATTCAGGTACAGATCTTTCCTGGGAATTGGCTTATTAGGAATTACCTTACTCTGCTTGTCACATACCTAGCTAAGAATCATGAAAGACAACTGTATTGAAGAAGGATGAAGTGCTTCAGGGGGAAGAGCTTGTATACCTGGAGAGTCTAGTGGGGAGTTAGTGGTGGAAGGGGGCATGAAGCTAGGACACTGAAGCACAAAAGGAGGTAATTAATTTTGTCTATCCTATTTGGGAACTTTTTATAGTCTTGGTGGTTATGGTCAGAGGTGCCATTTGTTCTGTAAACCTATGCCTTATACGGCATGATTCCTTAGGTGCTGGAAGGTACTACAAATTCCAAGGTACTGTAAGTTTGGCTTCACCTTTTTTTTTTTTTTTTTTTTTTTTTGTGGCGGGGGCCCTTTTTTTTTGTTGCCCTCTCCCTTTGGGGCGCCCGGGTTGTCGAGGCGCGGGTGCGGCGCCTACGGCGCTGCGCCCCGC